AGATGTGTATATTGGGGGGGGGGGGGGATGGTGGTGTCCATTAGTGTTCGGATATTCCAAGAAGCAAGAATGAGTGGTTTCCTGTTTTGTGAAACAAGTTTGTGGGTTTTCAAATTTTCTTTATATTTACTGTATATTTCTGACGGCATAGGTGGGATGGCTCTCCAGGCGCGGTTTCCTGGTCGAGCTCAAAACAGGACAAACTTTTTTAGGACGCCTTTTATTGTCCCTTCCCCTGATTGGGGTGGGCAGTGCTACCCTTAAATGGCTGCCCAGACGCGCTGGTAGGACTTGTCCTAGTTGTGTCACGAAACGGCCATCACACCAACGTGGCCATCACACCAACGTCGCCACACGTGCAGATTCCATGATAAGAACTTCCACTCTCATCCATAGCTGTTCCCTTCACTTGTTGTCTGTCGCCGCAGGCTTGATTAGAGAAGGAGAAGACAGAAAAATACAGAAGTAAGAGGGCAAAGCTTGCGCAAGGACTTGATTTTTTATCGGTGATAGTGAGGGAGCGCAGTCATCACTCGCACCACTTTGCCTCCCGTCGGTTGTCCAAGTGGCAAGCAAGAGAGCAGGACGACGAGGGCCGATGGAAGGCTGCACCACTGTCGATGGATCCCTAGTGGAACAGATTTGCCAGAGCTCCGTTAGCCGGTCTGTTTACAGGGTTCCAGATGGGCCTTCACGGCTACCGAGATGGCGCCAGGGCATAATATACCCCACCGTACTTCACCCCATCCGGCAATCCCCTACCTTGGACCGTTACACCTGTGCACCACGTTGAGGAGCAGTTGGATTTAACACAGGACCTGTCTCTAGTAATTATACATTAAAAATACAAATTATAATTCGGGACAAAAAATTATCTTTACATGATATGACCTATGTCACGTGTACATCGTGAACTCAAGCGGTAAAGTAGTATACGCACCGTCCCGATTCAAGGAATGACGCCGGGACCGTATTGATAATAATTAATGACTACGATGAATTTTCATTTGAAATATCTTACTTGAATCTATTATACTGTGTATGTGATTAGGCATACAGGTTTCAAGAAAAATACAAAAACAGCGTGGTGATTAATCCTGGCGTGAGTAATCCTGCTGCTTTCTAGATGGAGTCGACGTTAAGGTAAATAAAACTCGAAAAAAAAAAACCTGTTCCAAAGGTACGTTTGCATACATTTTTATATCATTTGAAACATCTTAGGCCAAATAACAAAAAATACTTGTTTCCCGTCCGGGGTATTTCAAAAAGTTGGTGAGGGAGGCACTTGTTATTTGTTATTTGTTATTTTTGTACGTGTGTCAAAAAATACTTAAATACGCGTCCTGTCTTGATAGTAGTGCATACAGTCACACACAAAAAGAATCGTACAGTAAAGCATCCAGAGGAAATGACAACAAATATAAAAACACAAGGTACAGTATGAAATTCATTAATTTTTTTTATTGAAAAAAAAAAATCAAAAATACCCTATATATTGTATAGTAACTGTTCTGATTTGCTTGTGTTTTCTGTTTTCAGGCATTTTTGGTTTTAGGCAAGATATCACATCACAAGACAAGTATATTATTTAAATTAATCATTGGATCAGAAGATACAACCAGTACCTACAGATTTAGAAAGATTAACGCCAGTATTTAGCCATGTTATATAAGCCAATAATTGTTTACATTATAATTAATAATAAACTGCTATTTTCATTGTACACTTATTTGTTCGATAAAAAAATAATGTATTCTTGATTCTTGTCATTCCTATATTGCAAACATTCGGCGTTGTCAGTGACGTCGTATGATTTGTGTGCGATTTTTACAAATTAACTCCTAAGTAAAAAATAGTTGAGCCATGTACTACCTTGCAAATTAACCAGCAACCCGGTAGTTTGTTTATTGTTTATTCATAGTTACCAACCTGAGAGATTTGAAATGCGTGAGTGAAAATACCAGTTGGCTGGGATGGGGGGGGGGTTCAAGCGCAGGGGAACCACCCCCACCCAACGATCTGGTATTTTTAAGTTGTTTTAAAACGATTTCAGAAAGTGTATGTTGATAATACGGTACATAAACAAAAATATTATTAATAAAGCCAATTTGTGTTTCAATGTAGGCCTATGTTTAACTTGAGCACCCAAACTTTGTAGACCTACACAAATATTTCATTACTGATCAACTTTTATTAACTCGTTAGTGAAATAAGTAGGGCTTTCAAGGAAATACTGTACTCTCTAAAGTTACTGCATCACTTTTTATAGTTTTAATCCAACCAATTTCTTCAAATTTTAAATGCATTTCCCCTGAATTTGTGATAAATCGTTATCACGCATGGACTTTTGTTAAATGCGTGACAAATTTAGGATCACGCATGTGTTTCTGCAAAATGTGTGTTCCTGGTTTCATCCAAAATCACTTTGAAATGCGGGACCATCCCGCACGATGCGAGACGGTTGGTAACTATGATTATATGTATTATATTATTGTTATTGTGTAGGCCGAATATTTGTTAATAGTGTACATTTTTTGCATACAGTACTAAAATTACATCTATTACCACTCTTTTATTATTACAATAATAATACTAATTATTATTATTATTATGTTATTATTATTATTATTATTATTATTATTATTATTGTTGTTGTTATCATTGCTATTACCGTATTATTATTATTATAAATATTATAATCATTAATATTATTATCATTAGTCTTAGTATTATTTTTATGATTATACTGTAAAGGAGCGGTAAGGTAAAATATACTGTAATGTATTACAATGTTGCTAATATTGTTAAGCAAGATTGTTCATTAAGTAATATGATAAAAATCTTGACTAAGTAATAATGATGAAAAGAGGTGGTACATTTCACAATGGTCATGAAACACTTCAATGTTTGTGTTTTGTATTTGTTATTGTGTATACAGTACAGTATTGCTATGTAGGCTTATCATGTAGGCCTATATGCAATTACATACACGAAAGAAATGTTGGCATTAAGACCTGTGACTTTTTTTTAAAACAAATACCCAGTCTCCGAAGGGAATCAGAGGATTTTGGCATTTCTGTATTGTTTAATTAAATTGTTTTGTAACCATTATTATACTGTACTGCAATTAACAATCATCACCACCACCACACTGTTATAGTCTACAGGCAAAACTAAAAATTAACATGAAATTAAAGTGTCAATCAACTTTTTATTTAATAATTATCTGTCTGTATCATTCAAAGTTTACAAAAATGTAAATAATCAAATACTGTATAAGAATTGTTCTAGTAAATTGAGTTATTGTAGTAACGTCAGCCTACACCTAACAATATGCACAATAATAATAATAACAATATTTTAATAACAATAATTTAACAATAAAAAGTAATACTGAATTTATATATAATTAATAAAAATAAAACAATAATAATAATCGATTTAATACGTTGTATTGCTTGCATCTACCGATTCACTGTTAAGGCCATATACGACTTACTGTATTATGTTATATTGAAGTATATTGTGTAAGCCATTTCTGTTAATTGAATAATAATTTAACGTACGATGTAATGTACTCACTATAAATATTTCATCCGTGTCCAGGATATCTTAGTTCATAGGCTACCATATTCAATGCCATTCATTCATGCCTAAATAGTAGGGCCTGGCCCTAGCTAACCTAGAAGTATAGGCAGGCCTAAAAAAGTAAGGGCCAGGGCCTGAGTAGATAGGCATAGGCCCCTGTTCTAAACCAAGTAGGCCTAAACCTAGCCTAGGCTGTACAAATACCTGTCTTGGTTTCTCTTAAATTAAAGTTTTTTTTCTTGCTCGTTACTTTGCATTTGTCGGTAAATCGTGCGTAGCACTCTTTAAATTAATCTTTTTTTCTTGCTCGTTACTTTGCATTAGTCGGTAAATCGTACGTAGCACTATGGTAGCCAGCGTTATAGATGTCAATAATCAGTACTACAACTAACGCCTAGGCATACTTCACTGTCCAATCCGAGGGAGCCTAGCCCAGAGGCAGCAGTTAGGCCTAGGCCCAAGCTAGGCTAGGCGCGCCTAGATCGTTGGAAACGACGATTGAAGAAAACGATTAAGCAAGCCAAGCTAACTTCTATTCCTCAGTATTAAAATCCTTCCATGGGCACTGTCCAAAACTTTCTTCCAGCTTATCTCTGAAAAGATTGTAACCTTTTCGTCTGCAGTTTTTAATTTTCTGCTCAACATGAATTACACAGTCAGCCAGTGAGCTTCCATGACGGCCTGGCTCGGACATGAAAGGTTGTTGTTTGTTGTTTCGCAATACGTGACGTCATCAACGAGCGAGTACAATACATTCAATCTCGTAACATGATTGGTCTATTTCTTTTCTAATTTGCATAATGAATTTTCCAACATTTTTGTCTATTTAAAAAAAGTGCGTAAGTTATGGAGATGGGAACAATAAAAAATCGATTATAAATTTAATTCTACATTTCCTGTACTACAGAAAGCGGATCCAGTAATTAGGCCTATATTTTTGACACCATGACCATGCGTAATATTAACCTGCAGCTGTATATATACGAATAATTTTTTCTAGTAAAGTAGTCTTAGAGTTGACTAACTGGTAGTAGGCCTACTTGTTGCGGTACTAGGTTTATCGCATTTATGGCTAAAGGCCAACTCAGACAGCGTCTGCCCCCGACGCACGCCATCGCGTCTGCGTTCAATTCACACAGACCCGACGCGACCACAAATCGCGTCGGGCTGCGTCGGCCTATTTAATTATTTTCATTATTTTATTGACGCTGTCTGAGTTGGCCTTTAGGGTTCGCGGTACTTCCTCCTTCCGTTTAGTCATGGTGGATCACAGGGGTAGTAAACCCGGAGGTCGTGGGTTCGATTCCCACACGGGCCAAGTAGGGGTGAATCATAAATAGCAAAACTGGAGGTTTTTGTACGAATTATATTAAAATTTAGTCCGAGAGTGCCATTTCCGACCAACCTCAGCCCCAACCATGGTGGGGCGGAGGTGGTCTATACTCTCCATCTGTAAAAGTCCCTCTCTGGGCCCAGCTCTATTTCAAATTACTGGATCCGCTACTGGATATTTTAAAAAATTCGTATGGAAATAAATGTTAATTGCATTTCTTAAAATCAATTAAAAGGCTATAGGCGCCAGAGCTTCTCGGGGCTAAGCCCGCTGGTACGCATCCCAGGCTTGGGCCCAAGACTTTATTTTTCATTTCGTCCCCCCCCCACTTTCAACCACGGATCGACGCCCTTGCCTACACCAATGTCATGATATATTAATTTTCTTCTTTATTGTATACGCAAAAAAACAAACAAATGGTATACAATAGGAGCCAAGAAATAGACAAGTCTAATCGAGCTTGGCCCCTTTCTTAACTATCCCCCTCAGCCCCAATAAATAAAAAAGAATCAAATAAATATATCAATAAAATAATGAAAATAATTAAATAGGCATCAATCTTCATACTCGGAATAAAGTAATTTTTTCAGTTTTGAAACAAATACATTCCTCGAGGTAGTCTCTCTTAACTTAACAGGTGTTGTATTCCAGAGTTTAGCACCCATATAAGAAATTCTAAATTTACCTAAATTAGTTCGGCATTTTGATATGGCTAAATTATATTCGTAATTAAACCTTGTTGCATAACTATGACAAATATTTTCAAAATAATCAGATAAACTATGTGGTAATCTGTTATTAAATAAGTCTGATATAAAATTCAAAATATATAATTTATGAACCTTAAATACGTCTAAAATGTTAAGTTTTTTTAAATAAAGGTACAGAATGAGCCCTAAATTTAGAAAAAGTAATACATCTGGCACACATTTTTTGAGTGAGTAATAAAGGTTTTAAATGCGATTCGTAGGTGCTGCCCCATACCTCAATACCAAAAATCAAGTTGGGTAAAATAAAAGAATTGTAAAGCATAACCAATGTTTCCTCAGGTACACAGTGCCGTAACTTAAATAAAATACCAGCTCTCTTTTTTATTTTATTGTTTAAATCAGATATATGTTCTTTGAAACTAAGGTATTTATCGAGTTTAACGCCAACAAAATAAACAGATTTACATTCAGAAATTAAGCTTGTATTAATCCTAATGGAGCCGAACGTTGTAACAACTTTACTTTTTGACTGAAAGATTATATAATTAGTTTTATCGGCATTTATTGTTAATTTATTGGCGTTGCACCACTCAATGACTTTTTAAAACTGACAATTAACCTCATTGAGATCTATCATATTAGGCCTATGTTGTTTTATGTTTTTTGATAATTGTGCAGTGTGAACGAGAAGGCTTTGAAGAGGAACTTTTGCTGTCCATTTTGATCAGGATAGCAATGCTTTTTTGCTACTCTTATTTTGGTGTAAGGAAGAGTCTGATTTACTATTGCGGTGCAATCAAAGATGGATAATGTTTCAAAATTGAAGAATTAGTACCTGTAGATAGCCGGAAATGACACATTTACAGTATAAGAGTAAAATTCATCATCACATTACTATATCATTATATTGTCAAAATGAAGCGCCAACCAGGGGTGGCGCCAGGATGTGCCCGACGGGGGGGGGGGCGATGCACCGACAAGGGGTCAGATTTTCCTGACGAAAGCAAAGTGGTCGAGCTTTGATTAAAATGTTTCGAAAGTGGTCCTGGGGGAGAAGCCCCCGAAAATTTTGAAAGTTTAGTGGTTTCAAAGGCTTATTTAATCGATTTTTTCTCCCCGACACAGGGCACCTCTCCCCCCCCCCCCCCCCCACCCCCCCCCAACTCGGGCTGGCGCCAACACATTTTTGTGATCTTGGTTTTTTTTTTTATCGGCGATTTTCGGCAACCATAGAGATCTAAATAGTATGTGATGAACCATAGAAAATATAACTTTAAAACATTCTCTTTGATGTATTTACTTTACCTACTTCAAAATAGTGAGTCCACAACCACCTCTGCCCCACCATGGTTTGTGAGAAAATTTGAGGAAATAGTACCTTCAGATGGTCGGAAATGATACTTTCATATAGTAAAATTCATCATCACACCATCATGTCTAGATAAAGCGCCAGCAAATTTCTCATGATTTTTAATCAGGGAATTTTTGGCAACCACAGAGATCTAATTATTATGAGTGATGTACCATAGGAAAAAAAAACTAAAGAAACACTTTCTTTGATGTATTTAATTTATTTGACTTACCTCAAAGCTGTGTGGCCACATTCACCTCAACCCCACCATGCTTGTGGCTGAGGTGAGAAAAGTTAAAGATATAGTACCTCTATGGCCGGAAATGACACAATTCTTCATCATCACCAACATTCAAAATGAAGCGCCAAAAAATTCTCATGACCTTTCAGCAGCTATTTTCGGCAACCAGATCTGATGTGTACCATAGAAAATACAACTTAAAAACATGTCTTTGACGTATTTACTTTAACTACTTCAAAACTGTGAGTCCACATGCAGGGGCGGATTTAGGGGAGGGGCGGCCTGGCCCCGCCCTTCCCCCTTTGGGAGGTTAAAAAAAGAAAAAAGAAAGAACAAAATGATAGCTCAGAACGCCTCAAATGTAAATGTTATTTTCGGGCGTCTAGAACACAAAAATTTCGCCCTTTCACACCCCCTAGCACAGTGTTGTTTCGATCGGCCCAACTTTCGGCTCCCCCTTTTGGACATCTCTGGATTCGCCCCTGACAGGCATCTCAGCCCCACCACAGTTGTGGTTGAGGTGGTAAAATTTGGGGAAATTGTACCTCTAGTATGCCGGATATGACACTTTATATGTAAAATTCCTTATTATCGATCTAATTAATCGCTGTGATGTACCATAGAAAATAAAACTTAATTTTCTTTGATGTATTTCCTTTACCTACTTCATGTGCCGAAAACCAATTACTGTACATCTTTGCACGCTTTTTCTCATACTTCTCAAATTATAATAAAGGCACACGCACTCGAATCGTGTATGATAGGTAATTCAGATGTTTGTGGGCAGAGTATACCGGTATCTTGCTATAAAATAAGATGTACTCTGGCTGTAGGCCTACCGCGCTCTTTCGTTAAAACCGGAGTCATTTATGCAGTTTATTTAAACAATTTTCAGGCATATAAACTGAATGGTCCACTGATTAATCTTAGATAAGATAGTATAATACATACTCAAAGTATCGAAATGCACGCCATCGATACTTGGAGTATCGAAAATTTTGAGAATATCGAGCTCTGTTTGCCATGAAATTGCACTCTCATACCTTAAAAATCTTACCAATAATTCATATCAACAATATAATACAATTATTTTTCTTAATAGGATAGGGGGTGCGACCGCACCCTCTGCATCCGCCCCAGAGGTAGCTCAATAGCTGATCCTCTCCGGTTCGCTGCCTGTCTTACTCTTCTTCGGAGCATTGCCCCATTGGCTTGCAGGCCCGACAGTCGGTCTAATACAGAATGAGCATGTTTTTTTTTTAAATTTAAATGTTGATGTAAGTTGTAAATATACATTTTTGATTTGTAAATACAGTACATACATTAATGTTCTTGTGCAATTTCATAATTATTAAAATTTATATTTTTGTAGTTATTGCAATAATTTAGCCTTTGGCTACTTTTTGTATTTTGTATACCTGAATAAAATAAAATAATAATATGAATTATAATATATAATGATGGCCAAATTGCAAAACTAAAATAGGTTTCTCATTGTTTACAAATTAAGTAATTACAGGCAGTTGTTTACAAAATACACAAGGAAAACAATAACATTTATATAGCATTTATTGAATAATTGTATTAGCTACTGTGCCATTACATCTGACCTACACATTACAGTTACGCAACAATTTAAAAAGCTCACACAAGCTAATTTGAAATACAATATGAGAATATTACATCTCAAGCACTACTTGTGTGATTAATAATTAAAAATTGTTTTTTAAGCTTCTCCTTATACTGACAACTTCAACAGCACTACAAAGAAGATTAAATTCAGTTAGGATTACATGCATCATTATTGTTAAAATCAGTAGCATCATAGTTTTCAACATTTGACCTTTGATTTCTCCAGAAGCCTAAAATATGTATTTGCATAATATCTGCCTTCAAATAATATAAATTAATCAAGAAGTAAGAAACCTACTGTCTAACAGTGAACATCTACACAAAGAAGCCTCTTATACTCTACTGTATCTTGTTTTAACATTAGACATTGATAAAATTGTACAAATGTTTGATCGTTTTATGACTTGTTTTCTCAGCAGTATTGGGTTAAGGTGGGACGTAAAATCACAAAAAATGTGAGTATGGAATTCATATCCTACTTGAATACAAAGTCTCCAAATTAACTCGTAATTTAAAATCATATACCAGTAATATTAAAACCAAGATAAAGTTATGATCTGTATCTGAACCTTTGTGCAGTATCAAAATGATGCAGGGATTTAAATAATCAATCCAAAAGCTACTGTGCAGTATTGTACTACAGAACTTTACAGTTGCTTTCACATAGTTTTACAGTACAAAAACTCCAATTATAGTACATCAATTTAATGTCATCAATGCTCAAACAAATTAAAATATTATCCTTAGGATAATAATGTTTTGTACAGACAAGTCGCTCTATTATAAAATATAATTATATTAGCCATAATATTAACAAACCTAATACACGGATAAATCTCTTTTGCCTTGAATGAATAACCTGTCCTTTTTTATGAAAATAAAACTTATCTGGTTTTTGGAAATAAAACATATGGCATAATTATGTCTTTAATTATTAAACAATGCAATATACTCAAGGCAAGAATATAAAGGGCAATGAGTTTGGTGGGTAATCTAGAATAGATTTTTTTCATGCAGTACATGATTAGAGTCTACATATTATAGGGTGCACATTATTGTTGACATAAAAACACATCATTTTTATATTAAGTTTTAAATGACATCAATAATGATTTATTAAATATGGAAAGTTGAATTCCTTTATATTTTATTTAAAAAACCATGTCCAACAGCAATCACATGCCAACTACAGGATGCCTTAAAATGTTTTGAATTCCTAAAATTTATTATAAATATATCTAGTGAAATCTATGTTCTCAGTTGTTATACTCCATGATTTTACAACATAGAGTACATAAAATATATAAACAAACACATATGCATTTATTTAAGTTTGCCTTTATGAAAGAAATACAGGATAGGCCTACCAATGGAAGCTCAGTTTAGTAGCATTATTAACTTAATTAAATTTATATGTTAAGTTTAATGGATGGTATGAAACAAAGAATGTGATGCAAACAACAAAAATTAATATGCATAAAGTTTTAATTAGGAATGTTAGAACTACAAAGTAGGTATTATCTAAAAGTAAAGGTTACTAACATATTTTCAATTACACAAATGGAAGGGAGGTTGGCTGTGGTCGGCACTATCTGATAGGGAGAAATTTTGCACTTTGTGCTAAATTTCCCAGTTAATGAATCCAATGACCAAGGTGTGGGAAGTGCTTTGAGATTCTTGTTCAAGGATAAATCAAAACATTATTATTAGATTTCACAGACATACATACATTACAATATTTATTTATTTACTTATTATTATCATTTCTGCCAATAGCATATCCACAATTCGCCACACTGATATTCTCATGTTGTTAACAAAACAAAGAATGGTTCTATTTAAATAGCAATTTTCTTGTTTAAAACAGTGTTTGACTCAGCATAGCAAGATAAAGCTAAACATCCCTAGTAGGGTTCATGGGGAGATTTTTATGGCTAAGTAAGGCTCAAATTGTGGTTTTAAACCACAATATTAGAGATTGGCAGTCAAGTTAACGTTATTTAGATAGGCAAATTAATTGTTGGTCCAACAACCTTGTCATGGTGTTGGATGATGAGGGTCCAGGTCTGTCCGATGGGGGAATAGTCACATGGTACAAAAAGTAGGAACCGTCTTATACACTATTTGCCATATTGCATCCTGCCAAGTTTGAATCCAATCATCCAATGCTGAAGCTTATCCGATATTTAAATACAGATAGTAGATCTATCTATGCAAAGAACATAAATAGCAGAAGAATGAGCTCTTCGCGTAGTTTGCATTAAATTTGATGGAACGTCCGCCCTCTCTAAAATGGAGGAAAATTGTTTCATGGTGTGGAGAAACTAATGAAAACAAACGAATGAGAGAGTTATCCAACACCAATCCAACCAATCAAAGATATAGTGCCGCCGTTCAGATGGAGGAAAATTGCTTTCATGGACGCCCTCATGAGGCGTTCTACTATATCGCGAACTGCTCTATCTTTTGCTATTTATTATCTTTGATATAGGCCAAGTAATTTTCAAGTATTATGGGATTATCTGAAATAGATATAAGCCTCTCAAATCTCTACATTTGTAAGTACTCTCCCATGCCCATGAGTGTGGATGCACATTATGTAACTTGTAACGATTACTAGGAGGTTCTAGGAAGTAAGAAACATTTCTCTTATAAACCAAGGTTATTCCTGCTGTCATTAAGTGAATTAGATAACCAAAAGGTGAGCTTTTCTACAACAATATTAAAGCTTACAGAAGTGGCCAATTACTGTATGATTCTACATTTCAATTCTTCAATTTGCCCTCTAAATTTGGATGTATAATATAAAAATAGTAATCTTGAATCATCCAGTTGAGATTCTGTTCCATGACAGATAGAAAATTAAGAATTTATCTTCAAAACCAAACAACAATAATTTAAGATTTATAAAGCAGCCTCCCAAAAGCATCACAAAAATGCTGCTGCTCATCAGAAACAAAAAGTTATTACTATAATACTGTAAGAAGAAAATTTAAAAGTAAAGATCCGCCCTTTGTAACCAGGATAGAGAATTTTTTGTAATTATCTATATTAAATAATACATTACACAACAGCCTCCTGATGAAATATACTCAGGTTCCTGATGAAATCCACTGTGTAACAAAAGCTAGAGCTAAATAAATGTTATATTTTGTCTTAAAAGTGCTGTTGTCATTTCTTATATTGTACATTACTCAAGAATGCCAACAAGTACAGCGTAAATCATAAACAATCAATTGGAATTGAAGAAGTGGCTTCGACAATGCAGAGAAGCACAAAAACATCACAAAATTAACAGTAGGAAAGGATGTTAGCTTGTAGCCTTCAACTAGATTAGGCAGAGTTTTACGTCATAAAAACACCCAGATTTGTTTCCAGTAGAAATAATTTAATGTGGGTAAAATAAACCTGAACCCACTCAACTACTCATAAGTATTAAACCTAATTTTAATTTGCAACAAGCATTGACATACTAAGCTTTATACAAATTTCACATGTAAAAATGTCAATGTTCAACCGAAATACAACTATTCTACATGCTTAACATACATTGACAATAAGAAGTTACTTTTTTCACTCAGCTTTTTTCAATTGCAAAATAGTCATCATTGAAAAGACATTGTTAAAAACAAACTTAATAAAAAGGATATCTACAAATTAGCTCATTTAGTTTTTACAAACACCACTTTGGTCAATAAAGCTCCCGAAATGTGATGTTCTAAAAATTCTTAGAGATCTTCTTGCTCCATCACAACAGATCTTGAAGCTTTAATCTCCACAGAAGCACAATCTTGTGTCCATCCATTCTATAATACAAACATGTTCTTTTATTAGTCATATTAAAAATATAATCTGCCATATTAATTTTTGGTAAATATTAATTTTTTATTATTGTATTTTATTTCTACAGTTATATTATACAAAGAACTCTCCATAACTAAAAAATAACGGAACTGGCATAAAAACATTATCATGCTAACAATGGTAATGACTATAAGAAGTGGTTGGCGCATCGGTTGTGGTTTGGACTCCCAACCTCGAGGTTGGGGGTTCAAAACTCTCACTGTGCAAGTCGCTTGTGTCCTTGGGCAAGGCACTTTATCTACGGTTGTCTCTCTCCACCCAGGTGTACAAGTGACAAGTGGGTACCTGGTAGGTTCAAACACAGTCTGCGCTGAATACAGCTGCAACATTATGGAATTCCCCTATGTGCTTGATCCAGTGATCCGGGGGTAATAATGTTCAAGCGCTTCGAGGTTGTGTCAACGGGAGGCGCTATATAAATCCAGAATTATTATTATTATTATTTATTATTATTATTATTATTATATTATTATTATTATTATTATAAGAGATCAGCTAAAGAGGGATAAAACACATTCAACAAAAGTGTATAAATCTATAGTGTTGTTACAATATAATCTGTATAGGCAGATGAAATCAGCTTCATAACTGCCTATATACATCTTAACTGCATGCTTGTTTTTTCTCGAAAGGTTCAATGTTATGTTATTGTGAAAATATCCATAAATGTAAAAGAAAAATTCATAAATAATAATAATAATAAAAATAATAATAATAATAATAATAATATATTATTATAGAAATGATGTGTTTACCGAAATATATATTCTTTGATTTCAATAATTTAAAATAAATAAATTAAATGTATTTAACCAATGGAATAATAATTACTTTTAAAATCAAATTTTACACATTCAATACATATCCAATGGGTTAAAAAAATTATTTACCATTACCTCGCCACCATTTATTTCCTCGTTTCCGTTTACTTCTGTCAATCTTCTTGGGCTCATGTCTAATTTAGGTTTAGCCACCTCTGCATTATGAACTTCACCTTTTTCCCACTTGTTTTTCAGATTGACAGCCCCAGCAGCAGGTGACATAGGCTCAATGAGATCTGACGACCCACTGTCAACACCTTCTCTAACAAGTGGCTCATTTTCAGCAACCTGACCATCTTCAGATTTGTACAGGTCAATAGATTTTGATTCCCCATCCAAGTGTTTATTATCCTTGTCAACATTAACCTCTCCTTTTTCAAACTTTTCCTTAAGGTTACGTGTTCCTCCTTCAATACTATCAACTGAATCATCTGCCATTGAAGATCTGATGATGCCTTCAATTGGTGGTGCTGGTATATTTTCGCTTACTTGGCTGTCCCCTGACGCAAACTCGTCCAATGATCGTGGGGGACGTTCAAGTTCAGATTTTGGTGTCTCTTCAACATTATGTACCTCTCCCTTTTCAAATTTGTTTTTGAGTGATTTTGACACTCCAACATTCAACTCATTTGAAGACATCTCCATATCTGCCTTTACAACATCACTTCTGACAATAGGTTGACTTTCAGCAACTTGTCCTGCACCCTCGATTTCACTTTTTAATTCAATCTTATCTTTTGTTTTCTCAGCAAGATTGCTTACATTACCTTTTTCAAAGATGTCCCGCAAAGACTTTGCACCACCTTGTGATATTCCATCATCAACTTCTGTTGATTCACGCGTGATATCGTTACGCTCAATTGGTGTGCTTTCAGCAACATGGCCAACACTACTCTCATTTTCTGTGTAATTCTCCAATGAACGGATGACTCTTTCAGGTTCTTGCTTCCTAACAGCTTCAACATTTGAAACACTTCCTTTTTCGAAACGATTTTTCAGGGAACCTATTCCACCAGTTATCACTTTTACTTCATCCATATCATCACCTGATCGAACCACACCATCTCGTATTATTGGCTCATTTTCTGCAAGGATTGAGTTTCTAATAGATGTATTTGAAATCTCTGATGTAAGATCTATTGGCTCTGGGGTCTTTTTTTCTGTGGTTTCACTTACTTTTCCAGACTCAAATCGGTCCTTGACAGCCCTCATGCCACCTTCCATAGTACATGCCTCAGCTAATTCTTGTGATGATGTCACAACTCCTTCAAGGACTACTGGTTGATTTTCTGAGACATGGCTGGTACCATCACTCTCAACTACAACTTTATCATTTTCTGGATCAAATGATTTTCGTACTTCAACATTTGAAACCTTTCCCTGTTCGAAACGATCTTTCAAGGATCTCATACTTCCAACAGATGTTTTCTCTGCAGCATCTCCTTCTCGCACAACATCTGTTCTCTGGATTGGTTCACTTTCTGCAATTTGACCGTCTGATCCTGCTACTGGGAAATCCACAGGTGGCCCTGCTTTTTGTATAACAGTTGTACTAGTCTGCTCTGTGCCATCAAATCTATAATTTAAAGAAAACAATATCTAAAAATTAATCTTTTGCCATAGGCCTATAGCCTAATACTTGCCATTCCTATATTTTCAAATAGCAACTCTAGTGTGAATATTATATAGTATGATTCAATTGCACAAATTAATCCACTCATGTATCAACCCAATCTCTAGCGCATAGCTTTGGCATTAGTGAGTTAAAAGCCTTATGTTCACACACAAGTTGCTAAATCATAGTGCTATGTCTTCAGGCACTGCCATTAAGGCCATGTAATGCCCCAGTAGAGAATGGGGCAAAGACATGTTGATTCTGGTGTTTCATTCAAAAACACAAAAAGGGCTTTATTTTTTTCAACACATTCTGCTCACAAATTAATTTGTGTTATTTTGGGAAGTTTTTTTGTCAAGGACTTTTGTATTGTTTACTTAAAACAATAAAGCACATAAAAACAACAGCCCAGCTAAATACATTTTGCTGGTTTAATAAAAATAACAATAAATATTTATATAGCACATACTGCTGACAACTTCAAGGCACATAACAACAGGAACACAAACTACTTTGTGTTAAGTTTGTGGTATGAGGCAAGATATACATAACCAAAAATATATTAGCCAACCTATACAACGAAAACCCAAATTATTCAATTTAAGGTCGAACATAAGTTAAACAAATTAATCATTCAAAAACCAAATCATCTTACTAAACATCAAAACATTAATTCAAAAATGAATTTATTAAATATGCAGCCAAATCATTTACCCAAAATCTGAATGCATAATCCAAATGTATAATTAAAACATACATTCAAGTAGTACAAATACAAATCACATAATAAAAAAGCAAATCATGAAATCAAATCAACTAATCAAAACCCAAACCACTCAATCAAAATACAAAACATTTATGCATAATTCAAGCATACAGTTTAACCAATCTAATCAAAAGTCATGCCACCCAATCAAAAACCTTAGTGGTAGGATGTGTTGGGGAAAGAAACATATGTATACAGTATATACGTATTTTTTGCATGGTGGTAGATCTAATCAAATAAATAGGCCTTTAAAACCCCTAAATTGTCAGTTTCCAGGGAATACCTTGAGCAAAGCTTGACCACGCCCACTAGGCTCTCGTCAGTGAAATTAGCCCCCCCATGTCAGGACATCAGACCCTCCATCAGGCAAATCTTGGCACCACCCCTGAATCTTATGTTGCTAGCTCCTAGACTAAAAATAGAGCAACCACTTTTAATGCAGTATAAGATACAATCATGGCAAAATTCTGGTTTTATTGTAAGTTAGGTCAAGTTATTTTTGATTTACACTGCCACAAAATCTGGTAGTAGTAGTAATGACATCATCTTTTTGTTTGGGATTAGAACTGATGACTTCACAACTTGCCAAACGACTACACAGTATAATAAATGGTCTGAATCTACCTTGATTCGTTAGACTTTACACTGGATCATTTTACTTTGCTGTTGTTTATTTAACTCTACAGTGGATTATTTCACTCTATGTTCAACATCACGGTTGTTCTATTCAGTGGCGTATCTAGCAGTATTAAAATGGGGGGGCAGGTGGGGGGACGCGACCAAAATATGAGGGGTCATGGAATTTATTTTCGGTGGCCACGCCCACCGAAAAATATTGCTTCTTAGATTCCCGAATACACATTAACCGTGACAGCATAAGCATAAACCTATTTTTTTGCTTCGAAGTTTTCGAATGGGGGGGCGCAAGCTTTTTGTGGGGGGAGTGCACCCCCACGCCCCCCCTTGGATACACCACTGGTTCTATTCACTTCAGTGTGAATCATTTAAACTTCACTTTCAATCAAACTTTACAGTTGATCATTTTATTTTACGTCCGACCGCTTCTTTTGAATTGGACTTTTGAAACGTACGTTTTAATTATGCATAAATGTTTTGATTTGATGTTTGATAAGATTATTTGGTTTTTGAATGAATGGAAATCGTTTTATATTGAAAGGCATTCGTTGCATGGATTGGCTAATGTATTTTGGCAGATCTGGCTTTCCATTATTGATAACATGTGATTGTAATTAGTAAGACTTACCTAGACCTTCTATTCTTCAAATCAAACACTTCTTCTGCATCTTGCTCAGATGTTTTGATTGCATTTTGGGATACACCTAACAAATTTTAATTGGAAGGCATATGAGGAAGTAAATAAAACAGAAACATAACCATGCTAAAAACGGAATACAGTACAAGAAGATAATATGAGAAAATTAAGGTGAAAAGAAATATAGCATGCATAAATACAAGTCCATATATTAAAAATTGTAAGTGAATATACCTTTACACAGGTTAATCCATGATATATACCATATGAACGTTTTGAAAGTGAAGAGAATTGAATTTAGGTCTACATCCAAAGAATTAAATCAGTCCAAAATGTGTTTTGTCATGAGAATAAAACATGGAATTTGCAGTTATATTGAACCAATGACTATGTAATGTGATGAAGGCATGGCATCTTAACCAAGAAATTCACTAACACAAAAATATACACACCCACACTACACACAAACACACACACACTCTTTCTACACGAATGCCTGCAATTAACAGTTCTTTCCAGTATACATTATACAAATACAACATGGTTTGAGGTTAAAAAGTGAATTCTATTTCACAAGATGTTGTATAATTAACTACCTCTTGATGCGCATAAATAATAATTTCCAATGAATGAATGAATATCACATATGCAGAGAGCTTAATATTGTAATTTGCTAGATTCTTGTAAGCTGTTAAGTATTGAACTGAACACCCACTGAACCCTGGCATTGCGAAGGTCAACATCAGTTGCTTCGACTTCTATAGAAACCTACTGCTTTCTCTGCATAAGGAATAAAAGTGCCTTATTTGATTCAATATATGAAATCCTTTCTGAATATACAGATGATGACGATTATGATAATAGCCAAGTTTCTATCAGCAATAATAACATTTTCACTTTACAGGTTTTTCACGCACAACAAATTGTTTTAATGACAAAAGGCTAAGACTGCCACCAACAATCAGCAGACGGCGTTGCACTGTCTTTCAATCACAGTGAGAGGAGTTGGGTTCATCATACGACGGTTGTACGACAGTTGTACGGCGCAGTGAGTGCCCGACTTAAGTGTTTCCATTGGCATCCTACTGGTGGTTAATTGGTCCCAACACAGGGAGGCAGTCCCCTACACAGGGAGGCAGTCCCCTACTTTTTCCGAAAAGTGTAGTGTGTTCTTTAATTTGGACATGCACCTACTGCACACAGACCATCAGCTTACGCATCTTTCAACCAAAAAGTGCAAAACATTATTATTTAATCGTGCGTTATAGCAAGAATTCTGGCATAAAAGTAGGGTTCAGTGTTGATGTACCCATAGACACTTTCAGTGTTTACATTGGCCTAGCTGAAACGCTGGTGGTACACCACCCTGCACTCGCACTTGGCAACATCCAAATAGATGATACAAAAATGACTTTGAATAAAAATAGAAAAAATATAATTCCTAATATTTTTAACTCATGGGCCAGTATGGCCAGTGAGTTATTGTGATTATGTGGGGGAAAAAGGGCGTCAACAGCTGTAAAATGCTCTCATTCCTTTGTTTTTAGCGTGATGTAGTTGAAAATTTTGAGGAAAGTGCAGTTTTAAGATCATTTGAGGTCAACAGAGGTTGTTTTTGAAATTCACAAAAAAACGCTACTTCTCTCACATTTTTAACTCAATGTATCCCACGTTGAGTATAGTGAATGCTGTAATACTGGCCAGTAAAAGTTGTTCGGGATTTTCATAATCATTGCGGGCAATGTCGTTTAAGGCTATTTTTATGTATAACTTGTAAGGTGTTTAGAAAATAAAAAATAGGTTCCAAGTGGGAGCAGGTTTCTACTGCTTGGCATGTTCTTTTTTTAACTACTGTCTTCAACTCATCCAACATTTTTGGAGCTTCGTCACCAGGAAAAAAGATTTTAGGCAACGCCCAACCACCAGCACTTTGCTCTTGTCGGAGGCACATCGGACCCACCATCGGGCAAATCCTGGCACCACCCCTCATAATCAGAAGGCCCTAGCCTACTAGGCTCTGGTGGACGTACTGTACAACTGACCTGACAGATACCAGTATAAGTAAAGTAATGTAAACTGAAACTCGACAGAAAGAACAGACCCAAAATGAAATGTCAAAAACAAATTTTCATCTGCCGTAATAATACAACTTGTAGTAACACATTAAAATCAGTAGCTCTACCCAGGCCTACATTTGTCAAATTTAGTGAAATCAAACATCTAGGCCTACGTACATAGAACTTACATTTCTGTTTCTGTATTAGTTACTCCAGTAAAATGCAAAGTCAATCAAAACTTCACGGTCAATGTTTACGCTTCCAGATTGACAAACTGAGCTCAAAGTGTCTACTACCCAGAGAATAAAATTTTATGGGTGTTATCCCCTCTATCCACTAAACTCATTCATTTTTTAAAAATCAAACTTTTGGTGGGATTTTTTTTGTGGTTTTAAAACTATTTAAAAAAACAACTGACAAATGAAATCCTTTCTAAGCATAGGAAAAAGTGGACTGCTTTTAAAATAGACTGTGCGATTTATTGGGTTGGTTCAATTTTGGTTTAATGTCTGCCTTAAATGTCCTTAGGCCTATGCTCCATATATTTACAGAGGGCTAGGCCTAGGTAGGTCTACAGCGTTGCCTTGGGAGCAAGTTTTTGTCATGACTTAGACTTATTAGTTTTAGTTGATTTCAGAATGAAAACATGATCATTAATAATAGAAAAACGAGTGATCACTGTACTTAAGCTGCGTGCATGCACAGCTCAAAATTGAATATCTCAGCTGAAAACGATTGATATTCTTGCTTTAAAACAAACAGTTTTAAGGAGTTTTTTTTTTTATCTTTTTTAATACTGTTTTTAATTAAATAAAAATTTTTTTTATATACAAGATTTTATACAAGGGTTTTAACTGTCTGTGTAGTGTTTTATTATGTATATTCTGTTTTATATTATATATGTTCTGGATGTGTGCAAATGCAATTGATTAAACTTTACATATCATTTTTAATTATTACCATTTACTATTTGCCAGTCTTTAAGAAGAAATTCTGTTATTTTATGATGAACAAATAAAGCAATTTAGTATTCAATATTCATGTTTTATATCAATTTATTGGTTTAAATGTTTTCTTTTAATTCTTAGCTGATGTAATATTTTATATTATTTCAGAAGACTTTTAATACAAAGTGTTTTTCTAGTTTACAAAGATCGTTCATATTGATGTCATCGCCGCAAATGGGAGATGTTACTGTACTATGTAAGCTGTTCAATGCTGTTGTTTTGATAAAACAAAAATTATGATTCAATATACATGATAATTCAATCATAAATCTTTTTTCAATTACTCATTTTCCATTCACAGGATAGCTGAGAACATTTTGTTCATTTGACTGGTTCTAAGAAAGAAATGTATGCAATGGTGAAAAAGCTAAGTGGGAAGAAATGCAGTGGAAAAAAGACCAAATCTATACTGATAAAGATGGAAATCTGTTAACAGAAAGTACAAAAATTAAAACAAGATGGAAGAAATATATAGAATAATTATATATGATAATGATGATGGATAAACAGATTCAAATACCACCAGATAACTCCATTACACAATAAGTACGGATAGAAACAAATAATAGCATACACTGAAATATAAATCCAGGTAGCTGTTAACACTGTTGAATTATACATAAATCATCAAAGAAAGGTAAATACAGTGTTCGAATAAAGGACATAATAATACATTGTGTAGCATAGCTCGCAACGAATGTATTCCTATAAATAAATGAATAAAGAAATTGTGTAATGGAGTGTATCTGGCGGTATTTGAATCTGTTTAAACATGAAGCCTAGGTAGGTCTAATGGTTATGACGCTCGCCTTGACAGCGAGAGGTCGCAGTTCGAGTCCCTCCAGAGGCATTTTATTACACAATTTCTTTGTTCATTTATTTATAGGACTACATTCGTTGCGAGCTATGCTATACGATGTATTATTATGTCCTTTATTCGAACACTGTATTTACCTTTCTTTGATGATTTATATATATAATTTAACAGTGTTAACGGCTACCTTGATTTATATTTCAGTGTATGCTACTACTTGTTTCTAGCCGTACTTATTGTGTAATGGAGTGTATTGGTGGTATTTGAATCTGTTTAACCATGAAGCCTCCGTGGTCTAATGGTTATAACGCTCGCCTTGACAGCGAGAGGTCGCAGGTTCGAGTCCCGCCAGAGGCATTTTATTACACAATTTCTTTATTCATTTATTTATAGAACTACATTCGTTGCGAGCTATGCTACACGATGTATTTTTCATGTACAAAATTTAACAGTGTTAACGGCTACCTTGATTTATATATCGGTGTATGCTATTACTTGTTTCTAATGGTGTAAAAATTGGAAGGGAAAACATTGCAGCAGTAAGTTATGCTGATGATCAAGCTATGTTGTCTAACACCAATACAGGATTACAAAGAATAATAGTGGAAGAACATATTGCATGAAAATAAATATAAACAAAGTAAAGTTATGAGAATTTCAAAACATCCTGGAAGAAAGATGAAACTTATTGTGAACAACACACACAGAGATTGAACAAGGAAATTAATTCTGTTATTATTACTGTAAGTATAATAACAGACAGAAGGTCTGAGAAAGACTTAAAAATAAGAATTTGAATAGCCAAATTCAGAGAAAATAGGATATACTATTATTAGTAATACCAATCTGAAGGTTAGAAAACAAATCTTTAAAGCAATAGTATAGAGTACTGCGTTGTATGCAAGCGAAACATAGACACTAAGAAGTGTCATGGAGAAAATTGATGAAGGTAAAAAACACAGATAGAAGATCAAATGAAGATGTGCTCCAGGATGGTGAATGAAGATAGACAGATAATTAAAATGATAAAAGGGACAGAAAACATGGATCATTCTATTTGTAATATTTATGTTAACTGCATAGAGGTCTCTATGATATGCGCTCTATAAGTCGACCATTATTATTATTATTATTGCGTGAACAATCACCTACTGATAATAGTAATTGACTGACGGTGCTTTGGTAAGGT